CCACCACTTTTATTTCTCTGCCATAAAACCAATCCTCTGTGAACTTCTCTCCAGTGAGGACAATAAGAGAAAACAAAATGCACTGATGGAAATTTTAGTGCTGAGTTTCAAGCCCCAACCAGCCCTTATGGCTTGGGTAGAGGTGCTATAAAATCTGCCTTGTTCAGGGGGAAGCTGCCACGTTCTTTTTTTGTGTCTGTAATCCCTGAAGGCCACAGTCACACTGAGTAGTTTTCATGATTTTGCCACGAGAATTGTGAGAAACTTTAAGGGAAAAGGCCACAGGATGTTATATTTTGCATCCAAAAATGATATATACGGAGCAGTCAAGTTTGCCATGTGTGTTACCTGCAATAGTAATCACACAATTAATAAATTATTAAAAATAAAGACTATTGAATACCAAGTTTGGGGCATTTCCTCAGCAGTGCTGCATTTTATTTCACTTTGCAGAGAACTGTGTTTGGTCTACTGCAGAAAGATTGTCATCAAATATTAATAGTTTTTTCTTTATTCATAGTCACAAAATGGGAAGTGTTTGACTGTTTTCCATCACTCTAACAAACTGTTCTGAAAGGAAGGAATTATGAATTGTCTTAGATGATGAAAAAACAGCCAAAAACTAAGTCCCACTTCTGAAAAGCACAATAGAGAGAATTCCACATGACTGATGAAGAAATGTTAGGGCTCTGCAGGTACAAATGCAACTTGTCAATCTTCTTTTTTTTTTTTTAAATACCAGAACACTTTTACCTTCTCCACACACTTCAGAACCCACTTGAACTTCAGTGGGAGGCAATTAACAGTAATGAAAGCCAAGCTGAGTTTGGAGTACAGTGTTTTTAAAAGCCACCCACAGAAGTTCATGTAGATCTTGAATAAATTAGGTGAATAAAAACCTGTCTTTCAAAAAGGAGATGGGCAGGGTCTGTAACATACCAAGAACTTCGTTGCAAATTCAAAATTCTGTTCTTAGAGCAGAAATCATGGTTGACTTTGAGAAGGTGAACACACCACGTAAGGCTCATTTTACTTGCAAAGATTCACCACAACATGGATAGGAAGGGACTCAACCTCCAGATTCACCTCAAATTCTGGGGATAACTGTGTCACCTCTAGATCTCGTGGCCTCTCTCCTTTTTCACTTGGATGAATGTAAAGACAACCAGAACAAAGTTTAAACAGATTTCATTTCTCAGAAACGTGTATTTCCTTTTTGAAACGCTTTTAAAGAAAAGCCGACTACAGATAAAAAAAAAAAAAGACAAAGGCTTTGCTAAAAATGAAGACATTCCTTCTATAACATTTTAGATCAAATTCGTGATTTAGTAAGTACAACTATTGCTGCATTACACTTCAAAAAAAAAAAAGAAAGGAGATGGTTAGAAATAAACCCTGAAGAATTATTGCCCACGAAGCCGTGGTGGAACACACTTAAAGCTCTCGCCAACTACGAAAGCAATAAAGTTTGACAAAGATAATACAACAAACATAATGGCTTGTTTTGCATCTTAAATAGATAATGAAGCAACCAGAGGCAATATATCCAGCAGTTAGTGCTCTCAGGACTCCATAAATTACAGGTTAGCGCAGTATAATTTAGGAGGATAATAAAACTAACAGATGACCAAATTATGGTGTTTTTTCTCACGCTGTTGGTTCCACTGGGGGATGTTCTCTCAGGGAAGCTGTGGGGGCTACTCATACTGGTAGGACAGCAGCAAACTTTGCAATATTAGAGCCAAATATAAGCTAAAATGCTACTTTGGGAACGGGGAGATAGGGTCTTTAGGAACAAGGCACCACGTGTTCCCAGAGCAGGACAGTGTTTGCAGGTCCTGCAGGAGCTTTTCTTCCCTCCTCCACAGCTCCAGCCACTGCTCCCTGTCCTGACTCCACATCAGCCCCTTCAACCTTAATGATTCTAAGATTCTATTCTATGATTCTATTGAAGTGACCCCTTTTGGGGTTCTCCTCACCTCGTTTTAGATCTTCACACAACTTCTAGCTGAATAAAGCACCCCGGGTTCTCCAGCTGCAAGAAATTAGCCAGTATTAGAGCATATTCATTTATCCTGATTCAGGATGAGATGGTAGATCAAGTGAAGCACAAAGGTTGCCCAGAAGAAGTTGCAGGTGCCTCATTATTTCCAGTGTTCAAAGACACGGCTTGGAGCAACCAGGTCTAGTGGAACATGTCCCTGCTCAAGTGGAACATGTCCCTGCTCAGGATGGGACTTAATCTTTAAGGTCCCTTCTAATCCAAACCATTCCAGGATTCAATTTGGAGAGGGATGACCTCTCATAACATGCTGAACAACGAATTGAATATATAAACAATCAGCAGAAATTAAACAACCTTGTACCTAAACGTTCCCTTTCTATTCCCACCAAGAAAATCCTCTCGGCATAATTTAATTCCACCTAAGAGGATGTTACACCTCAGCAGAAGCAGGACATTCTGAGAACACTGTGTCACAGCTGATGACATTATCTGAGTCACTTTTGATGGGATTAATGTTGTTTCAGTAAAGCTGAGGAGAATTTCTCTGCACGAGACAGAACAGCAGCAGAACAACAGGTCCAGAGGGTGAACGAGGCTCTTCCAGGCGACGCTGGATAATTATGAAATGTAATTATGCTTTGAGTTTCTCAGGGAAAAGAGCAAGGCTTGATAAACATTTTAGCACATTCTTGCTGGTAGGGAAAAAAAAAAAAAGGACATTTCAAGGAAATTAAAAACCTAAGGCAGCAGGTTTTCAGCGAGAGCTTGAAATGCTGAATCCTGGGATTTGATGGGTCATTAAAATACGTGGAAAGATTATTTATTTCATGTGACCTACAAGTGTACAAGTAAAAGCAAATAAGAGGTGACAGGACAATCATATGTATGTGTGCATGTGCCTGTATAATGAGAATTTTAAAATCTAGAACTAATTATTGGCTAAATTTAACATGGAGCTTCCCACTAGTTGCTGGGAACTCATCACTCAGAGCCATCCCACCCCTTCTCCAGCAGCTGTAGGTATGGATTGAATCTAATCTGGATGTATTTTTCTAAACATTGCACAATATTCTGAATAAAATCATATTAAAAAACTCACAGGAAAAAGGAACAGAGATCAAGAATCCCGTTTATTCTCTTTTCCTATACTTTTGTACTAAGACGTGATGTTGAGTAGCTCACGTTGATATTGCCCAACATGGGCTGAAATGGATTTAAGTTTTCTATTCAGAATTGTGAAAAAGAAGAGGATAATATAAGACAGTTGCTATGATTGCCAAAATAACCAAACATAACGGATAAAGCAGCAAAATTTTTGTCACTCCTTGCAATTCGCTTCCAAATAAATTTTTTGCACATATCAAATCATATATAACATTAATCAGCTGCTCCCCCTTCTCTCCCTCTCCATTTCTACACATAGAAAAAGCGGGATTTTTCTGAGCTTTGCTGAGGACCCTGAAAGTAAAAAAAGGGAAATATTTGAATGGAAACATTTTAAAATAATTCTACTATTTGGATAACGTGGTTGGATTCCAAAAAAAAAATTGACTCCTCGAAGCCGTTGCAAGACCTGGCCTGAATTGGTCTAAAATTGGTCTAAAAATTCTAAAACTGGTCTAAAATTCTGCTCTTTGGAGTCACTTGTGCAACACTGTCACTCCACCTTCTGTTTATCCAATTTAGGACAGGTATTGAGGGGTCAGAAATGTGTGAGGCTGCAAAAAAACAAGACGTGCTACAAAATGTGAGAATCTGCAGCTGCTTGAACTGGCACCTCTTGACTTTTGTCAGTTCAAATCAACATTTTCCTGTGGAGTTGTGCACAGTTTGGGTTACTTGGATGATTCTGGTTTTGCAACCCTTTTGTATATATTGAAAAGGATTCCAGCAGATGAAGATCTCACAATCCAATCAGTGACAGATTCCAAATACACTTTGTGAGGTTAATAGGGAGCGATGGAAGGCACATCCAAGTGTGTGTTTTTGTCACTTGGTGTCCCCCTTAACAATAAAACCCTGCAAGCTGTCAACGTGTCGAGGTGTGTTGACTTCACAACAAGCCAGGAAAGGCAAAAAAACCCCAACAAACCCTTTATGAAATAGCACAAGAATAGAAATGCTGCAAGAGAAAAGGAAACTTTGGCTTCACCGTACATTTTTCAGCATTTACTCAGATCAAGCCTCTAAAAATAAAAATGTCTGCCTTTCTCCCTAAATTAGTCTCAGGCAGGGAATGTTGTCAGATACATACATTATATAAAACCAAAAAGGGTATTAAAAATAGAAGTAAATAAATAAACAAACAAAAAAAATAGAAAGCAAGCAAACATCTTGCTTTGAAAGAAGAGATTTGCTTTCATATACATAAATACAAATGATCCTTTTATCCTGGCATATGTAGCCTTAATTAGAGCTGGATGTACAGGATTTTTCCAAAGCTACAGAGGATCTGTCAATATAGATCCAAAAGTACATCTGAATAGTCACAAAACCACTGCGTGCAGCAACTCCTTCTGCAAATATTTATTACATATTTAGAATTGTTGTTTTTAAACAAATTAAAAATCAAAAAGCAATCGGTTCTGCACTAAGTACTGCCTGGAGACACCATTTAAAACGAGCACAGTCACTACGTGGCAAGTTTTTTGTGCCAATAAACTTAATTTTATATCTACCTAAAATCATTTTGAAGCTTCTTTGACTTAGTGCAACATCAAAGTGGAAGAAATTGTTACCATCCTGGTGGACTTGTACCCCCTGGTACACTCATATCCTCAATATCCATGAAAATTCCTGGTTCTTTTGTCCTGGAAAAACTCATGCACATATTGCAGAGCCTGGCACCGACATCCCAATGGGAATGGCAGAAGGGAAAGGGAGGAGGGAGAGAAAAGGAAGGACAGACAAAGGAAATGCTGCACATCTGGATTTGAGAACTCGGACCTTTCAGAAAGGAAATCACCAGCCAAGGAAAAATGTGGGCACAAAATAGGCTGGAAAATTATTTTGTTGGAAGTACTGTATCAGAAATCCAGCTGTTTGTTTGCATTAATTAAAAAGTAATAGGAAACACAATTACTTCCCACACTGATGTTGGGAATGAAGAATATTTTTTGGACATTCAGAAATTCTGATGATTTTAGTTGCCCATTGAGTCAAAATAACTTCAAATATAAGGCAAATAAAACCAGTAGGAAACCCATTCACCAGGAATGAATAGATGGATTTAGTGGTTCAGATATATTTAGACAAGCAGATATTAAAATATTAAAATATCTACTCCATTAACAGCAATAACTGTGATCTTATAAACTCCTGTGCCACTCCCTCTGTGCAGGACTGGATTTTTAGCACTGCTGACAATGGACAAAGTGTGGCTGTAAGAACAAATTTGTGGGAAATTGCAGATTCGGGTCAACAGAACTATTTATATCTAATTCACAAGATCATTTCTCATCTGAGGGAAAAGAGTTTGAGCAGACTTCAAAGTGGTGTTTTTTTGTTTCAACATTTCAAAGCAAAACTGTTTCTATTTTTTCCTTCCCGTGTTTCATTTCAAAGTACTTCTTTTTTAAAGAGTAAAACATAAAGACATTTTCAAGGTTTTTGTTTTGTTAGGGAAGCTAATGAAAATAGTTTAGACTAACATAAAACAAGCCATGAGCTGTCTGAGGCATTTTTGGCTCAGAAAAGCAAATCTGAGTTAATCACACAATGTCACAACTTCACAATTCAGCTGGAATAAGAAACTAAGAGAGACTCCACCCCACCACTTGATAAGTGGTCAAATGGTCATATCTTGTTATAGTGTTTGTGTGACCCTAGTCCCCAAGTTAGACTTTTAATAAAGTTTCATTTTAATTTGCTCAGTTTTTACAGTGTTGGTAAAAACCCACCAACCTCATGAAAAATAAGAACTACGTAAATATCTTTCACCAAATCTAGGAAACAAAAAAAAAAAAAAATCCAGGGTGATATGATCACTTTGAAAGCATAAGTGAAGTAAAAACCAAGTTCATACAGTGCAGTCAAGAAGAAAAATTACACAACAGACTTCTCTTCCAGTCTGTAAGAGTCAGTACAATACGTGAGTTAGACCTTAAATAAGGAACTGGGGTTTTACAGCAGGTCAAAGCCTCAAACCACACTGCAGGTATTTGTATGGAGAGGTCCTTAAAGCTCACTGGGAGAGGCAGAGCTTCAAGGAAAAAAAAACGAAATAAACCTGAATTTTTCAACTGTATTTACACTGAGAAGGGTAAAGAGGCCAACAGGAGAGTTCTCTGGGAAGGATGAGTTTCCAGAGAGCTCCCAACTTCTCCAGGCAGCATCACAAATCCTGCAACAGATCATAATCCAAATTCCCTACCACAATCCTCACGTTTTAAAGTTATTCTGATTCAATTTCTCAAGTCACTGGGACACGTTTCTTTGAGGCTCTCGCAGAGACCATTTTTCTTAATTGCTGTGGGACAGCTGACAAAATTGAAACCCAAAAATAAAAAAAAAACTGGAGAGACTTGATTTTTCCAGAGGGTATGTATGTGTGCTTATACATGTGTGTATATATAAATATCACACTTAGCTCGCTCCCAAATGTTGTGAGAACTGAAATAATTATGCTGTTCACAACTTTAATTAAAAGACTCCCGTTTTGCTACTTTTCCAGAACCTTTTCTTTTTTAAATGTTGGGGGAAAAAGTGTAGCATCTGATGGAATGAACTCTCAAGGCTCAGGCAGTTCTGGAAATTCCAAAAATATATTAGAATTTGATTTGTATGTTTTCTGTAACTTTCTTCGAGGCTTGTAATGAAAATCTGGCCCATGTATTGCACAGTAACCATTCACTGAAGCTCCTGCTCCACTGCCCTGGCAGTAAATCCCACTTCTGCAGAACTACAAGGAATTTTTTCCCTTTTCAATACCCACCCAGGAAAGCCAGTTTTTTGTTTGTTTTTTTTTTAACTGCAAAACTCAACCCCTCAGCTTTTAAACTTCTCTCAGAGATACACAGTGATACCACAACTCTTCCAGGAGTCTATTTGGATTTAGGAAATGAATTTTGCTTGGGTTGGCCTCAAACCCAGGCAATCCACATTAGGCTTAGGGGGTATCTGCTCTATGGAATTATGTTTCCCACACAGGTTATTCCTCTTGCGAAGCAAGGTGAAGGAAAGAGAAACAAATAAAAATTGTCTGGAACAAATGTCTTTATAGCTACAGCTTATTCCTACAACTTAAAAAAAAGGAGATTCTTATAATGATTACATTCATGGAGAAAACTGCTTTCCTGAATATCAGCATCTTTATGTATCAGTGACAGCAGGAGTGATTTTTATGTTAGTTTGCAGATGCATATATTTGCAAAGGAAATGATAAATGTCTCACCAGGATTCACCTGCTGCCAGACACAGTGAGAACACACCAGTGTTTGTCACCAGTGTCCAAGGAAATTATGGCACATGCAAAATAAATGGAGAGAGAGAGCTTTTGGGAGATATTACTAATCATGTTAAACACACTAAAAGCCTGAATTTCAAAGGCCTGGAGGTCCCTGATGAGATTTTTTTCAAAGAACTGGAATTTCTGTGATATCACCTGTGCCCACACTTTGTTCCAGCTCCTGGCACCCACATTCCCTGGGCTGAGATAAGTCCCACACCTTTAGGATTGAGGCCACATCATTCAGTTATTATCCAGTGGGGAATGGCCTCAAGCTGTGCCAGGAGAGATTCAGGCTGGATATCAGGAAAGGTTTCTTCAATGGAAGAGGGACAAAGCTTTGGCACAGGCTGCCCAGGGCAGTGGGGGAGTCACACCCCTGGAAGTGTTCAAACCATGATATACTTTAGTGGGCATGGTGGGATTCAGGTGAAGGTCAGACTTCACCATCTTGGAGGTCTTTTCCCAATTTAATGATTCTGTGATTCGTTCCCATTTGAAATAGGAGCAGTGAAATAACTTTGGTGACACTTGTGTGGGTCCCTACATTCCATACATCCCATGCTTTCTGCTCCAGGCAGAGCTCAGGGACCAGCAGGGCTCAGGGATGGTCCCCTCTGAAGCCACCTGTCATATCACCCAGGCCATTTCTGGGGCCCAGGGATCCCCTGTGTTTCTAAGAGAAGGGTTCTGCTTTGCCCAGGGAGGTTGCAGATGCTCCATCCCTGGAAAGTGTTCAAGGCCAAGTTGGAAGAAGCTCAGAACAACCTGGTCTAGTGGAAGGTGCCCCTGCCCATGGTGGGGCTGGAACAAGATCTTTTAAGGTCCCTTCCAACCCAAACCATTCTGTGATTCCATGATTTTCCAGCTTAACCTGAAATGAGGACACGGTGCAGCTGCTGGGCTGGGTGGGCAGAACACGTGTCAAACAGCACAGTGTCCTCATGGAGTGTCAGGACAGCTCTGGAGTGTTATGCAGAGTCAGAGAGAGAGGGAAAAAATCCTGGATGTTGTTTACTTTGAACCAAACCAAGCCTTGCTGAGCAAAATCAGGAATATTTACGGAGCAGTGTGGGGACTGGGGCTTGGGACCAAAGCAGGGAGTGAAGCTTTGACAGCCCAGATACACTTTGCAATTTCAAACAACTCCGTTTTTTCTTTTTTTCTCCTTTTAAATTTGCTGTTTCCCTCTCGGTTCCTAACAAAGATATATCCTCTTAAAGATGAAGGGTAAACATTGCATTTGAAAAATGTCATAAAAATCCATTTGCCATTTTTCTCCCCCCTCTAAAAAACCAAACTATTTGCATAGCGAAGCCCAGCCTGTCTTTCTCCTCCCCATGGGCAGGTTCTGATGCTTCAGAAACACAAAGAACAGAATATAAATCAGTTCCTACTTCCATGACATGCCATGATTTCAGCTGAGAGCAATTTACTTGAGATGTATTTCTTTGGCTGGGAATACACAGGACTAGTTCTCCTTATTGTCCTGGACATTTCACCCACTAAACCATTAGTTTCCTCTGAGAACAGAAATAAATAGCACAATTTGTCCTCACAGAAGACTGGCTGCTTCTTAAATGTGAAGAAGCTCGTGGCAAATGGGCAGAATGTTGGGAATAAATAAGAAAAACGGGGCAGCAGAAATCAATCTTGCACCGTGACTTCTCTCATTCATTTAAATGGGAAATGGGTTTTTTTTTCTGGGGCTCCCAGGAATCGAGATGCAGCAAATTTGCAAGCTGGAGAGAAAATATGGGGAGTCTTCTATGCAGATTTGAAATATAAACTTGAAAGAAAAATTTGAAGACACAAACAGCCAGCAATTTAAGGAAATTATATCAACCAGGGGAGAAGAGATGTTTGCTGTAGCCATTTAAACAATAAATTGCTTTAAAGTGGTAAGTAAATCAATGAAAACACTAAATCTTCTCCTATTTTTCAGGCAAGGATTAAATAGTACATGTTGTACCTGATCTTACAAAAAGGTTTAATCTCAGTGCCACTTCATAAGCCTCTGAAAAACTCCATCTGCCAAAAGATTCACCTTTTCCAGGTACTATTTCTTGCTCTTCCCTCACCTACAGCAGACTCTTCCCTCTGCACTTTAATCTAAGTCTCTTCAGATGCTCAAGAGAGTTAAATGGAAATGATAAGTCAGGACTTTGACACAAGTCTCTCTTGATGCTCCTCAAATTATCAGGAAGATTCAGTGCAAGTGCAGGTGACAAACCTGCCCCAGCTACATTTCACTGAGAATTTCCTGGGCAAAAGCAGAAATGAGATCTTACTTGTCTGAATTCTTCCCAGATTTTCAGGTGATACAGTGATCTGGACAGTTTTTCCCAGAAGAATTTCCATCCTTACTGACCATCCTTACTGGAACAGCACAAAGAGCAGTTACCATCAACACTGCAACAACCAGAGAGAAGAGGAAGAATTAAGCAAAAAAACCAAAAACCAACCAAAAAAAGCCAACTTGCATTGGAAACACTGGTTTTGAAGTATTTCCAGGTTTTTGCTGATGTCAGGAGATGGCTCAGATGGCAACACACAGCTCT